TTAAGTGAATTTCACATACACTTGCCTCACAGGCCATATGAAAACCGAATCTTTCACGCTTTACATTTTGCACATTACTGGCTCTTCTTCCATGATCGGAATTAAATGAATAGAGAATAAAACAAAAAATTAGGAAGGGTAGGTCTTAGCCCTTTGGCTATCATTAACTCTGTTTCTTCTTTGACATGTTCCCACCAGAGCATCAATGTCTTAGAAACTTAATGACTGTGTTAAATCTGACCTTTCGGTTCGCTTTGCCAAGAACATTACTTTTGAGGATGTTTCTGTCTCCTATTGCAATTTGGTGATATTAAGAGATACTCACCTTAGTCAGCCCTTTGAACTGTTGAAGCGATCTTGTTCATATTACCAGACCCCGGAGCATTTCCACATTCCGGGCTGTCGGCTCCCACCCAAGTCCAGAATGAGACCTCTGCATGTGCACACACTTCTAACGTCCTGCTGCTGTAGAAGGGGACACAGGCTGGAAGGCAGGCATGACACCGCCCTGCATTCACCTGAAGATTTGAAGTGCGCTGTGTCACATCTCTCCTGGTGAACGCAGGGGGAGACTGTGGGAATGCAGGTCTTTTAATCAGGTCCTGCTGCTTGTCTCCCTCCAATGCTTCAACGCTTTTTCAGCATCTCCAGTCACTGCTATCAAAGAAGTTGCAGTATGCACTTTAGAACTCACTGCTTTCACCCTTACCATGTTTGCAGTGAATAATATCTGGGCGATTTTAGTACTACAACTTTTTAAGATAAAAAAATTAAGAACCACCTTTTATTGACTTACTCACCTCTTTAGGTTCTACATAACACTGTGTGGCTCAAGTACTGTAATGTAGCATTTGTTGGAGGTTTTTTTAATTTTTAAATGTCACCACTTTCATTTCTGAAACACAAATGAGAGAGCTTTAGTAGCTGGCAGAGGTGGGATGGTTTGTGAATAGGACCAGTGTGGGAGATGTGGGAGATGCCAGCTTCCTGCCGGGAAGGCTGTTACCTCCTGTGAGGCAGCGATTGCTTTTCTGACCATCCCAGCACAATTGTCTGACCACGGCCAAGGTGCGTCTGTGTTAAAGAGCTAACCCTGCCCCTTTTTCTCACTGGTCATTACCTGCTGTCTCATTTATTCCCCCTGCCTCTACCCCAGTCTTCCCGTTTCACCACCATTTATGCTACTGTGTGTATTTAGGACAACCACTTACAGGTTCTCTTCAGTTTCAAGGGCCCAGATCTTAATTATGCTAAAGCTGGTTGTAGCAGTTGCCTTTTTGTAAGGAAGACTTGAAGTCACAAAGAAATTTACAGCTGAAGCTGCATTAAGTAGTATGAATGAGGTTATCCCGCGCTGATGCCTGGGCTGTGCCATGGGAGAGAATCAGTATGATGAATCAGTTGCTTATAGTGTGTGCAGCTGAGAGGGCTTTGCTTCAGAAGAGATTCAGTCTCGCACTGGGCTACGTGCCCCATCACACATGAGGCATGAAACCACCGGAAGGACCAGTCACTGGTTCGGATCTCAGTGCCTGGAGTGCATTTGTGTGTCACCGAGCTGGAGCTTGGGGTTTTGCTTCCTCCAAGAAGAATCTGTTTTACTTGCTAACACAGCTCATAAACTAAATCAGCAAACAGCAAGTGCTGATGATTGGGGGATTCACTTCAGACTGCTCTGAACCAAATGGAGACATGGCCATAATGCCTTTCTGGGAGAAAAAAACCCACAGATACGCTCTCTTAACCAATAAGTCTGCCATTCTTACAGCTGTCTTTTGTACTGATCTAAGACGATTATGTGAACGGATCAGGGAGAGCTTAGATTTCAGGGACCTATATCTGAATGTATTATTCAAGCTACCATTGGAATCCCAAATTAAGATTTCCTCTCTGCCACTCCTCGCCCTTTATATACTATTTGGATAAGTTCTGATCTAGGGTCAGAGCAGACAGTTGTATTGTACGTATTGTGCCATTAAATCTGTCCCTGTAAACTCAAGCACCATGGAAATAGTGGAAATAGACATAAATTCCTTCTATGGCTTTGCAGGAACCATTCTAGCAGCCACAAGAGAATTTATCCAGGCCAGGCTGACAGAATGTTGGTGAACTGCTCCCAGTAGGCTCTTTTGGATCTGGAGATTGAGGACCACACAGAGCAAATCAGACCAGTCCTTGCCAATAGTAATAATAATAAAATTAAACATCATAGATAAAATGTCCTGATATTTTATTTTGGGGTTAGCTGTTTCTAGAAACGCTCTGTACCAACATTACAACATTTCAACATAATCTTGTACCTTTAAAAAATTTAAGTGTTTGTTATGCGGTAAAGAAACGTATAAGGAAATGTAAAGAAAATGTAAGCGTTTTAAGCAGCAATACAAAATAGGATGCATGTCATGTGGAGCAACAATTACACCCTAAGTGCGTAGAGAAGAACTCAGTGAAGCTAAATGCCTCGTGCTCCCCAATATGTAGTATTATCACAGCATGAGTAATTGGAGATACGCTGTAGAACTGCTTTGACTTTACGTTATTTTAAAGCCTCTCTCGAATCATTCTCCTGTTTAGACAGGGGATGTTGCTGTCCCCTTGCTTACCTTTTGCACTGCATAGTTTCCTGCTTCCAAGCTCTCCCTGATCTGTTCTGCACTGAGACAACATTGCAATCTGGCATATGCTCTCTGTTCTGTGTAGACTGACTTCTGCGAACAGGAGTTCATAGCTGTAAGGGACATTGTTTGTCCATGCCAAAATCTGTGTATTTAAGCAATGATCTCTTATTAAAAAGCAAACCAGCAGAAACTGGAAACCTTTTTTTCCCTCTAAAAATTACCTTTCCTAAAGCTTTTCAACAGTACAGTGTTGCAGAAAAGCCCCGTTAGACGATCCGGTTCCTCTCCGACAGTGAGAAATTGCCTTCTGCAGTAGTCTGGTGTTTCAAGGGTTCTGTCTAGTCTGGATTTGGAATGATGAGGCACTTCCCTCTGAACACTCGGAGATTTCCCGGTGAGGATAGTAATCTTTATTCTTAGCCTAAGAATTCCCTTTCTTAATTTCATCCTCTCATTCCTGTATGTGGGATACTCTATTATATTCTTGAAACAATTTGTTTTCAAATATTTCTTACATAAATTTACGTAGTCTCCCCTCCCCTTACTTTATACTCAGTTATGGTAGATGTAGTATAAATATTGGGCCCCTTGTCTTTCTTCTCTGTTTTTTCTCCCTCACCCCAGTAGGTTTACGTAGCTCTCCCCTGGTTTTCATGGCTCTTTTGTGCACAATTTTGGCTTGTCAGTGTGAGACTGATAAAATGGTATTTAGAAGTGAATGCATACCCAAGTATGGTCTCTTCAAAGCAGCAGGGAGAGGAGCTGTGGACTTCTGTACCATTTTCTAAAACTTTTTCATGTCTAACCAACAGAGATGGGTTGTGAGCATAGCTTTTGTCTGGTAATATAATTGCAATTGGTGCCCAAACTGGCCTTTTGATGCTGTATTGACGTACAAGTTCTTGTTTGGTTTTTGCTCTTATTCTTGCTCTATAATTTTTTCAGTCTTTTATTTCCTGCCCCTATTTCTAAATTTGTCCTTTTCCTTGTCCGCTGTGGTATTTGCAACTCTTCACATTTTAATATCAAGTGAATTTCATTAATGTCATAATTTCTTCCTTTTAAGGATCATTAATGAAGCCATTAAATAGGACTGGACATAATACAGATTTATGCAATATTCCCCTTCTATTCTGACTCAGTGCTTTACCATTAATCATTAGTCTTTGTGTGTAGCTCTTCAAACAGTTTTCAGTCCAGATGACAACTTATATCCAACCGAATATGAATTGATTTTCAGTTTAAGCTGTCCTATGGCAGCAAGTGGCAATGTTGCTGATAGCATGATGGTGCAGCAGAGCAGTTGTTCTTCTGTAGCATGCTGTGGGAGCATGCATTTCACTAGGCAGTGCAAATGAGAGTTAAAACTCTGTTCGACTTCCTAGGCAATTGCCCCTGGTAAAAATCTATAGCTGCTGTCTATCAGCAGTATTCTCTGCAGGTGCTGGTGGTGAAAATCTGTTTTAAAACGTAAGCTTCTAAGCCTGTGCTCACAAGCAGGTGGGAGAAAGAGAATTGAAATCATCTCAGATGTATGCTTATTGAAATAGTGTGCAATACACATACCCTTTAAAATAAATGCAAAAATTAATTTCACTGATTCTTTTTGACTTGGTATTTTGTTGCAATGACACAACTGAATTGCTACATAAGGTAATCAGAATTCAGGAATCGTATCTCTATCATATCTTTTTTATCTCGTATCATTAGATAGATCTGGCCACATACATAGGTGTATCTGCCTTTTTTGTACTTAAATGTGTGATATTACTCAGAATAACTGTTTGTGGATACTTATAAATGCAACATTTGTTAGGGATTTGCAGCAGCTCAGAATCAGAATTGCTGATGTAGATGGATTCTTTTGAGTCCTTTGTTATTACTTATAATACTCATATAAATGCAATTTTCCTGTTATTTTCATGTTCTGAGAGCTGAATTCCTTTAACATTGCTCCCTTTTAAAATGCTATGTTCTATTTGAATATCGAAGAGCTGTCAGCATATACAGAAAGATGTCCCTAATAAGAAATCATGGGTGTTTATTTGCTTGATAAAGTGTTACGGATCTGTGAAGAAAACACAGAAATAAGCATATTGAATGAGACACTGATATGCTTGGTATTTAAAAATTAAAGTTATTAGCAATCCTCCCATTTTATGACTTTCAATTAAAGGCATGGTATTGTTAGGTATTTGTCAGCTTCTAGCACAAGCAGATCAATAAACTCGTGAGTGTCAAATTTACCCTCTGTAGTTCTTTGCTGCCATCTTCTGTTCCTTTAAATGATTGCTGTTATTATTTGGATTCTGAAAAACAAGACTGGGATATTACAGATCAAAATTTCCCTTTCTGTAATTTTTTTCCTTTCCTTGGTTTCAGCTAAAGCAAAGTGAAGCAAATGCAGATACTAAGGAGAAGCTTCCATTGCGTCTACGCATCTTTGAAAAATTTCCAAACAGGCCACAAATGGTGAAAATCTCCAAGCTACCTTCAGATTTCACAGTTCCGAAAATAAGGTATTGAAATATTTCCTTTGCTAGTATTCTGTAAAGTTGTGTGGTGCCACATAGCACCCAAAATTATTAACTGTTTTCCTTGTGGATTAGGCAGATAGTTCAGAAAAACAGAGATGAAACAGAATCAACATTAGCGTTGAGAGGATGTGACATTTTGGTTTTACCCCATTTCTACTTCTGAAAGAAAAAAAAAAATATATAATTCTAGCACTCCTTATAATGTATTCATGAAAGCAACTAGGTTGACCAGAGTCGACACAAGTACAATATGATTGAAAAGTGTGTTGTTGTTTCTTCACTCCCATTTGGATTTTAGATTCTTGGCTGACATAGACAACTAGCAGTCTAATCAATTCTCATGCAGCTTTTGAAAGATGAGGTCAACTGACAGCAAATCATTAGAGGGGATAACACAGGCCATCCAATACCAGTCACTCTGTGATGACCTTGTCCTCTCTTTGTATTTGCATAGTTACTACTTCCCTGTAAAACTCACCTTAACAAAGGACCAGCCCCTCCGTTGGCTACTTGATCATCAGTTACGGTACAGTTATTCTTGGCATGGTCCCAAAAGAAGCTTACAGAAAGCCAAGGACTGCTCTAACACGTACAGGCTGCTAAGACCGCTGCAACAGCACAGGCTGGCCAAACGGGTCCTCTGGCCGTGCCCATTCCAGTATCCCGGCCAAGCACCTGCCGGGAGAGAGGATGGCGTGAAAGATGGCTGTCATTGTTCTGGGTCTCCTGAGGTTACATTTCTTTTGATAAAACTCACAAGAAGGCTAACAGGCAACGGGTTTGACCTGTTTGTATCATCTTAGCTGTGTGAAAAGAGTAAGGCTGGTCCGAAGGGTCGGGAAAAACAACCTTCCAAACCTCGAGGAAGCAGTCATAAATGTTTTGCTTTCAGTATCAAAATGCTATTTGGTTTTGTATTGAGGGCATTCTTCTCCTAGTCTTAGGGAATTTTTGGTGTTTCTAGCTGCTTTTATACTCTAGACTAATATGTGATCATGCTAACTACCAAAACAGACTTCAAACTGTCACCAGCAAGTCATATCTTTAAGTTCCTGTACGATGTAGAACTGTCTCTCCAGATAAAAAATTAGTTTTGACATAGTCAATTTACACTGAAAATAGGGCAACTCTACTAAACTTAAAATACAGCAAGATAAATGTACATTTGTTGTAAACAGAAGTGCTTCTGCATTCTAAACGTGCCATATGTGAGGCACAGAATTGCTGAAGTGCCTTAATACTGGCGTTCAAAGCAATGATATGAACAGATGTTGCTGGAAATCTTCAAGAAAGAATTTCTTGCAAAGAGTATGTTTCCTTTGGATTATATCAGTATTTGATTTACATTGAAGTAACAACTCGCTGTTTAATGAGCTCAAAAGAGCTGAAAACTGCAAAAGGCACCTCAAATATTTAGCACTTTAACTGGTAAATAAATAAATAAATAGGAATAATAGGAAATAAAAGAAATATAATAATAGGAAAGAGAAGGAAATAATAGCGAATAAATACAAAATAAATGGAATAAACTTACTTTCCTTGAAACTACACGCCAGCCACCCACCTCCCAATTCAGTTATAGATTTCTTTAATAAATTAATTTGTTATCAGTTTTTTCAGCACTCTGTCCATGTACCCATCTATAGCCCAGTACAATTTTTTCTTGAATTTTATCCACCTTAGCACTAATAGGTTGTGACATGTCATAAAGAAAACCAAATATTAACTCTTCATGGGGTTTTAATCCATCAATGTCTTCTATTTGTTCACAAGGGAAAGTTTTATGAAGCAGTTTATTGATCGCCAGCAACAAGATACCAGCTGTTTGCTGCGAAGACTTCCCTCAGCATCTTCTTCCTCGTGTGACCACTCTAAAAGATCAGCAATTGAAGAAAACAAATATATTGATCAAAAGGTAAATCAAGAGTATATGTCTTTCCTTTAGTATTGTGAGGAAAGACCTCAGATTATTCAGTTTGTCAAACTACATAAAAGTGAACACAAGCTAGGATGACTGAACGCAGGCTAAAAGGCTATATTTATTTTAGCCTGAAACAGACATCCAAGCAGATCCTCATTTGGTTTAAATTTTCCTGTCTCCTTTGACTTCATTCAAAATTTGGGATTTGATACATAATTTTGTTCAATGTATACATCTTATGAAGCTGCTTTTTAAAGTAGTCTTGCTATTAATCACTGAGAAGCTAATGCAAAGGTAAAGTTTGTGAATATCACATTGGATTTTTGAGTGCCTTGATACTGTTACAATATTGAAAATGCACTTCACTGGAGCAAGTTCTCTGTATAATCACTGGAGGTGAGTAAAAATTTAAGAATTATTCTAATTATTTAGAGGAGATTAACCTCTCTGTAGACCTGGGAATTGCTAGAAAGCAGGTGTTGAACACACATATTTGATACCCTTTGTGCTATATGCTGCTAGTCTCCCAGCTGGACTGGCATGGATGGTTGGATTTGAAAAATACCAGGTCTGCCTGGAATGATGATGATGATGATGCAGCAGCATAAGTAAATGTGTGTGACTTCTGGCACCTTGCAAAACTATAGAGGCAGAAAAAAATCTTCATGTGCATCATGGAAGATACTAGTTTCCCACATTTCTAGGGGCATCTACACTGATATCACTTTTTGATCACTTGTAATATTGTGTAACTTATTAGTGACATTTTAACAGACAAAAGGAAAGTCCTTTCAGTATTCATAACAGGGTGCTTGAATTTGAATATTAACATCAGGGGGTTGTAAATACATTTTGAGTTAGAGAATCACAGACAAGGAAAAGAGAGGGTACGTATTATTACCCAGTATGACCCTGGCTTTTCTAGTGTGTGCTTTGCAACTATAATTCAGGAGAGCATTCGTACAAGCAGGAAGCAGAGTTGGGGAAAACAATACTCTTCTGATAATGAATGAAAAGAGACCATTTGCAAACTACTGTTAATTTCCATCCCTATTTCAGTGCAAGAACCCATTCCTGTAGCCAATGTATTCTATGGCATCAGTAAGCCAAAGCTGAACAGCATGGCCTGAGAGGCAGGTGTGTGGTAAAATATTTATCAGACAAGGAAGGCCACAGGAATGAATCGAGCCTAAATGGACATCATCTACTCTAACAAGCACAGCAGAAAAATTGGATAAGTTATTAAATGACAAGCCTAGAGGTCAGCAGAACTATGCCAGATATCACTAATGATGGATCTCAAACACTGTGCCAGGGAAATCAGAGTACATTTCTACCATGTAATGAAGAGATGAAGGGACCTTAAACTTGTCCCAGCCACACGGATAAGTCCAGAGTATGCAATGGAGAGCTGTGCAATAATTCAGTAGATCTGTTTGCGTGAATGTAGTTTAAGTATATTAAACTGCAACCTTAATTCCTTCTGCTTGCTGTTCACAAAAGTGAATCATTATTGTGCTCAAAGACAGATGAATACATCGCACAGTTTATTCAATGAGATCTTGCAATATGAAAACAGAATGCTGCATTCTTTTCAAATTTTCACTTCCCTCCAAGACCAAATATGCATGATCTGACTCTGATTTTTGAATTGAAATAAGTGTTTTCAAATTGGTTTTGCTCTATTCAACCTGCTTTAAGCCCACACTTTTGGATTCCCATGCCTCAAGGGTAGAATCAATGATAAGTAATATTTCTGATAAATGTAGCTTAAAACAAGGTATTTACACATTGCTATTAAGAGGGAGAAAGCACTAGGAAGGATTTTGTGAAAGTAATTACTCTGGCTTTCTATAGTTACAGTTGCCAAGGCAACCTCACTTTTGTATGAGCAAATCTTCTTAAAAATATCTTATCCTTAAAACAAACTTGGAATGACTGGTTGCAGTTAAATATAAACCTTACATGCATACTTTACTTTTCTTTGTGAAAAAAGAAACCTGACCAAACACTTTACTAATCCCAGTGCCTAGTAGGATGCATTGCCGTTGCTGCTGATAGTAGTGTGATCGCTTCAGAAACTTTCCACATCTTTTTTGCATTGCAGTTGATGAAAAAAATAGGGTGGAATCAAAAGGTGGGATTCTGCTGGCAGATTTGACTCTGTCCTTCCTTTTTGGTGGCTGAACTGTGGCTACTTCTTCCATTTTCTTCTGGACTTATATCGGTATTTCTGCGTTCCACACCTGCTGACGTGATAGGAAGTACTTAATACATATATTCCCTTATTTCCACTTTAGCAACGTTCTTTTCTTCTTTCTTTAAAAATTTTGCACTATATATATGGGTGTTGGGTTTGTGTTCAAAATCAATCAGACCCATAATTTGTGGTTATCGATTATCTTAGTTCTCTTACATAATGGGTTTAGTAAGTCTTTTCAGTATTATAATTACCCACTTCCTTGTAAAAGGGGAGTAAATTTTCATTGCATTCTTTCTTTTTTTAAGCTATTTTACCTCCTCAAAATCATTGAAAAAAAATATTTATTCATATATATTACCATAACCATGATGACAATTGGTTTGAAAATATTTTCACCTGTGCCAAATCAAATGAACAGCTTTGGAAAACAGATTTCTCTGCTATACTCCTTTTTTCTAGTCAGGTCTGTGGGTTCCAGAAGTATTTTTAACTCTTTCAAATTTCTAAACTATTATCAAAGTAGTAAACTATCCAAGCACTAATATAAAAAAAAGTATGTGTAAGTACCTACATCCGATGCCAGCAACACGTGGGCTCTCTCAGTTACAGATGCTTGATAGGCGGCTTAGCATGATGCTCTGGTTGGGTTGTTTATGACTATCTGTAACTGTGTGTATGACTGTGTTTCTCTGGAGTTCTCTGAACTTCCCTCTGCTCAAAATGCAGGATGGTCATTTTTTGCTCTCAGCTTGAGGTCCTGCTGAGCAAATTTTCTTAAACCTATTGATCTTGCCACTGACCTCCTCCATGGTGTGATGAGCTAGTCTGTCCTGGTTAGGTCTGCAGGCCATGAGTTGAAGCGCTCTGCATCTAATTAGAGAAACCAGGACTGTCCCAGTTGGTGAGGATACCCCTGTTGTAGCAGAAAGTACCATGAAGATACTTTCTGATGAAAGAAGGAAAATGGCTCAGAAAAAGTGCAAGGATAAGGAGGCAGGGCTGTTATAAAGTTGATGGGGAAAGTATCTGAGGAAAGGGTTAAAAAATGAAAAGAGGGAGCTATGGTATTAAATGAACATTGTAGATGTGGGAGAAGAGGAGTTTTAGAGACAGAAAGGGAAGCATTCTTTTATACTTCCGCATTTGTATGAAAATTATTCACAGTATGCTGGGAATTTCCTTAGCTAACCAATATTTCCGTAAATTCTTGGACAGGCAGTCCTGAAGGGCAAAGGAGTCCAGGAAGCCTGGATGTTTTTCAAGAAGGAAGTCTTAAAGACACAGGAACAGGCTGTCCCCGTGTGCCAAAAGACAAGCCATCAGGGAAAAAGACCAGCCTGGCTGAACAGGGAGCTAGGGTTGCAACTTAGGGAGAAAAAGAGGATTTATGGCCTTTGGAAGGAAGGGCTGGCTACTCATGAGGACTACAAAGAGGTAATGAGGCTATGTAG